CAGTTTTAATCAACAAGCCACATGCAATTAGTTTTTGACCAAACTACAGACAATTACTCACCACATTCACTACTATATTCACACATTTCGCAAGTTATTAATAAGCTAGCTGTTCATAGATCTAAACCTAAACCTATTGTTTCGAAATATCAATGGGGTACTGAGCCACAGCAATTGAGAAAAACTCTAGTTTGAGAATGGGCTCATATGATAAACTTGGAAGGCTCATGTTTATGCGACAGCTACAAGAAGACTCAATCAATTAATGATTTTGAGTCACATTTCGGTACTATTACCAATACGCGATTAAACAGATGTCCACTAGATGTCACTCTCGCACCTGTTATCGCCGCCTCGTCAGTAATGAATGATAAAGAGTTTTACGTTGTTTGTTTTTTAGATGTTTTACTATTATTAATTAATTTTACGATTAGTTTTAACTATCTCAAAATAAAAGCATATTTATAGTGATTAGTCTGCACATAATAACCCTGATAAAAATCCACATATTGTTTTTTTTATTTATTTATCATTTTACAATAAATGCAAAATGACCAAAAAGATTATTCAGCATTAAGTAACATCAGAGTATACAAATATAAAAAGATTTACATCATCAAATCCAGTTTATGTAACTTGATTAAAGCAGGAATCAAATAACAGCAAATGAATGGTCAGTGTGATAACAATGGGCATTATGCACAAGGGTATACATAAACATTTTCCTGGTTTCTAAAAATATGTGTGGGTTCTTTTTTAAGCTATATGTTAAATATTCAGAATACAGTATTTCATTTATGAAGTCCTAATTTAACAGAACACATTTTCTAGATACATAAGAAATCAGACCTACACTTTTGATTTTTATATATATATATATATATATATATATATATATATATATATATATATATATATATATATAGCTTATTCAAGTTCACTCTGGATATTTCTTTCCCATGACCATCACAGAAGACTCATGTATAGTCCCAAAAATCCCAAAACTCATTTAGTTTTTTACAGTTCCATAATGCATAATGGTGCCCATATGTTTCTTACAGCTGACACATAAAGGTGGTACACCGTGTAATTTTATTACTAGAAAATGAAAAAGATACACATTTGTATACAACATCCCACTGATCATCATCCAAATTACAACCAAGGTCTTTTTCCCCATACGTTTATTAATGAGATTAAAGAAGAACCAGCTTGGTTAGCTAGATATTCTAGATAAAAGAACTGAACTTGAAGATGGTATTATGAAGTAGTCTAGATATTTATATAGATAATAACATATAATAATATTTATTTATTCATTTAGAGAAACAAAGCTTCCTAACTGACAGGTGGCCTGTAGAAAATGTCATAAATATGCTTTAAAATATCTAATAAAAAAGTAATAATAATAAATAAATAAATCACGAGTTATTAATTATATTTATAAAATTATAAAACACTTAATCAAACACTGAGGTAGATGAAACATATATATAATAAGTATAAAATAATCAAAGTATGAATCAATACAAATCGAATTACAATTATAATTAAACAAAAAGCATGATTAAATAATATTTAATTAATCAATGAAAAGTAGCTAAATAAAACCGAGATTAAAACTTATGAAAACTAATATAGTTAAAATATTATTAATTAAATTTTGATTAAAATATAATTTCATCATAATTAAAAACTTGGTCCGTGGAAGTTGATGTGCAAAGTGGAAGAACAAACACTTCTGTCTTCTCATCTTCAAGGTTGAATGAGCCAGCAGAAACAAAACACGATGATAGAAACTAATGGAGCTTTAACATCGACCTCTACAAATGCTAAGAATTCATATGTGTAAATAGATACATGTACTGTGCCATTGACCTTCATGACAGGGTGCCCACGCTTCTTGACAGTACTTGAAACACGTACTTGAATTTCCGACACATCTATTCAATGACTTGAAAGTACGTGAAAAACAAGCACGGGTCCTTGAAAGTGCTTACATTAAACTTGAACTAAATTTTGTTACGGAGCGATTAAAGCGACTGCTTTTGTGTGTGCTCTGGTTTCTTTTTACAACATATCGCAGTGTTGAGTGTCGTAGCCAATCACAGGCATATCTGTTGGAAACAATGACCAATCAAATGCGTTTGCTCAGATTGAGTTCGTCAGAATATGCTCAGTGTCCACCAAAACGTGTTTTAAGCCCGCAAACTGTATTATGTTTAATCAAAGTGTAGACACAATGTAAACAAGTTATTCATTCTGCAATGTGAGAAGTCAGATCTAGGCTAGCGAACTAAAGTTTTCAGTTGATTAAACTCAATCACGCCATAACCTAAAGGAGGCGCTCTTTGTTCTCTTTCTATAGGCTAGTTCACACATTTTTATGTATTACTTGTGTGTGCGGGTTTTAGCAACATGGGACATCTACCTATATGATTGACAACATCACGAAAAATGTGTATTGGTCATGACCCTTTAAGACGACGTACTGCTATACCTCAATCTATAGACTAAATATCAACATGAACTGCAAGAATTCGTGAGTAACGTTAGGTCTAACTTCTGAAATTGGCTCGTCTTTGTCAAGAACACGAAAAACCAGGTAGGACTAACGTCACATTTAGTTTTTCTAAGCTGCATTGTTTACGTTTTTAATTGTTAGCGTAATACTTATTATTTAGTATTTTTTAAAAAGATCTAAAAGTCTGCTGAGATCTGGGCTTATACTTTTTGAAAAATTCATCTGGGCCCACATAAAAATGCTACAGTAATTTATAGTAAATACTAAAGTGTTTTGAACCATACTATAGGTGTATAATACAGTACTACTTATTTGAATGCTACAGCATACTGTTTAGTTAGCGTGAACTGATGAACTGTAATATAGGCTATACTTCAGCTCCTTTATTATAATTTTTCTTTCAAGTTTGTTTTCCACCAGGTGGCATGAATGGTCCACGTAAACAGTATATTTTCCAACAAGCATACAAAAAAAAAATTAATAATAATTGTTGCAAAGCTAGATTATTAAATACTAATTTAACTTGTCATGGCTTATTTCTGTCCATGATAATTAAATGAATTATTAATATATGAATAAACATATGCATACATTTAAAGTAAGAATTATTAGCCCACCTTTTAATTTTTCTTTTCTTTATTAAATTTTTCCAAAATGATTTTTAACAGAGCAAGGAAATTTTCATGCGATGTCTGATAATATTTTTTCTTCTGGAGAAAGTGTTATTTGTTTTATTTCGCTAGAATAAAAGTCGTTTCAATTTTTTTAAAAACCATTTTAAGGTCAAAATTATAAGCTCCTTTAAGCAATTTTTTTTTCGATAGTCTACAGAACAAACCATCATTATACAATAACTTGCCTAATTACCCTACCCTGCTTAGTTAACCTAACTAACCTAGTTAAGCCTTTAAATGTCACTTTAAACTGTATAGAAGTAAAAAATAGTAAAAAATATCTAGTCAAATATTATTTACTGTCACCATTATGTTCAGAAATGTGTTGAAAAATCTTCTCTTCGTTAAACAGAAATTGGAAAAAATAAACAGGGGGGCTAATAATTCAGGTGGGCTAATACTTCTGCCTTCAACTGTATATTATTTTTAGTATCATGAAACTTAGATGACACTGGAAAAAAAACATTACCTACAGGTAATTAACATACAATTTTGACTTTTCTAATATTATTGTCTTATAATTAATTAATCTGTAACATTTTGTTTAACTTTATATTATATTATATTATATTATATTATATTATATTATATTATATTAATTATATTATATTATATTATATTATATTATATTTAATGGTTTAATAAAGTAATTTTTTGGGGAAATTAACCAGAAATACATATAAAAATGCGTCTGCCCACCTTCTTACATTCAAATGTATTCAATTCAATTCATGCTCATTTCTATAGCGCTTTTACAGTGTAGACTGTGTCAAAGCAGCTTAACATGGAGGTTCTAGTAAATTGAAAATGTGTCAGTCCAGTTTTCAGAGTTGAAGTTCAGTTTAGTTCAGTTCATTGTGGTTTAAATCATCAGTCATATTCCTTTTCAATTTAGTTGTCAGTAAACGCCATAAAATTTCACGCAGTAACTAAAACAGATTACAGATTGGAATCTGGTAGGTAGATTTTTTAAAACAAAGTGTTAAAACAGACAAATGTGGACTATCTAATGATCATTAATGCATTTACCCTATCAATTAAAGCAATCAAAGATCATTAAATCTATACATTTAGTATATAGACATAAATTACAGTAGAAACTTTGAAATGCATACACATAATAACGTTTCTGATAACATTGATATCCTCAGCTCCATGAATTTCTGAATATTTAAAAAATTATTAAGAAACCTAAAATAAAATCTTGACGTCAACGTCATAACGACTACAAACACTCAAAAATAGTTCAGTGTTAGGGAAACAGATGAAAAAGACAGACTCTCAAACAAGATCATTTAATCCACATTTCAGTAGTTAGGGCTGCCAATTTAAAGTGCTTTACATCAATAATATACAAATATGCAGATGGGAATAAACAACCAACATGGTCATGAAATAAATTAAATATACAAAAAACATTAATTATCGTTGCATCTAATGTCCTAAACTATCACTAACAAACCAACAAAAAGGTATCACAGGATACATAACAAATATATGCATTGCACATAGCCACTTAATACCAGTGATTTCTACAACATATTTAAGTGGGACGTCATTTTTTTTTATAATGCAATTTTCTAGAACTTTATATAAATTATACAATACGTACAGTGACTCTGAAAACACTCCTTTGCGAATGAAAATGACTTCATTACAGTGTAAGAGCTAAAATACTACAGTACACACTTGCTTATTCCAGGTCTAAAGGTTGACAGTGTTTTGCAAAGGGAGGAAGAAAGTTTTGTTTTTTTGACACAGCAGTATTTCTAAAGAACACCTATGTCTTGAATGGGTGTCCATCAAGGCGGTAAAAGGGGAGGTTTGAAGGTGCAGGTCCCAGTGCAGTGACGGGGAGTCAGCATCTTACACGAAAAATGGTGTAGTGCGTCGTGAGCTTCTGGGAAAAAAGTGAATGAATCGTTTAAAAAGAAGGCATCATTTGAATGTGTGTGTGTGTGTGTGTGTGTGTGTGTGTGTGTGTAACATAGTAAGAGAGGGAGAAAAAGAAGTGTTAAAAGACAATAGTTGAAGCTCAAATATAGCTTTTAAATAATATATAAACACCAGATTACCCAATAATACAGTGCCTTTGCCACAAATCAATAACTTTTTAATTACTGATGAACTCTTATGGTTTAACTCAGTCAACTCAGTAAGTGTCTGTGCAGGAGAGATCAAGAACAGAGGGGAAAATAAGTATTGAATACATCACATTTTTCTCAGATATTCTAAAGGTGCCTGTTACTTAAAACTTTCACCAGATGTTGATAACACCCAAAAAAATCCATATATGCAAGGAAAAGGAATAAATTGGTTTATTTAATGTAAACTAATTCGTTCACAAATGAAGTTATGCCTAATAAAATGAAATGACGCAAGGAAAAAGTATTGAACACATGAAGAAATGGAGGTGTAGAAAGGCAGTGAAAGCCCAGACAGCAGCTGAAATCTCTCAGTAATTCTTCAGCAACCCTCTGCCCTTTGTCAGTGTAAATGATAAATATTAGCTGCTTCAGTCCAACATCTATTAGCAGAACGATTAAGATGGAACCAGGTTGGAAATTTTAGCAAGACCATGAACAGAAACACAGCAAGAAAACTCTTGCATGCTTAAGAGAAAAAAAATCAAGCTGTAGAATGGCCCATCCAAACACCTGACTTGAATCCAATAGAAAATACAAATTAAAGATTAGATTTGATAGGCAAGACCCACAGAACCATGTGAAAAACTCACACCTGAGCAATGCATGTAACTTCATTCTCCACATGAGAAGAATCTTTAAGCTGCCATCACCAAAAAAAAAAACTTTTATATAAAGTATTAAATACGTTTCAGTAGTTAAGTATTTTCTCCTCGTGTCATTTCATTTTATGTTTGTATTGTTTGGGTTTTTACCAAAATCTGGTTCAATTCTATGTCAACAGCTCCTTTTGAAATAATATTCCCACGAAAAACATGACGTGTTCATTACTTATTTTCCCTGCTTTATAATTTTGCTGGTAACAGGTTTATTTAGGGGATTTTGGGTCATCCTAGTGTTTGCACTTCAGAAGCTGAGTATGCAACTTTTCTAAAAACCAATACAGAATGCATCATCTTTTTGTTTAATAGCATACAATTTAGTATTTAGCATACTAATAACATTTAGTATAAAACTAAAAGACTCTTCTGAACTCCAGTGATCATTGTATTGTTTTATTAAATACAATCAAAACACTGTCGTGTGAAGTCGAACGCTTACCTCGAACAATCTGGAGCTGCTGCACCATTTCCTCTCTGTATGAAAGCTCCCTTTTCATTTGGTCTTGAAAACTGTCTGGGATAAACATGTGAAGTAAATTAAATATCAAAGAACATTTATCATTATACAAATAGATATATACACATACAAATGATGTTGTGTTTTGACAAAAAATATTCAGACGCTTAATTCGTTTTTATTTGACTCGTTTATTAAATGTGCATTTTAGGTTAAAGAGCTGAATTGTTGAGCTGAAGCTTGAGAGTTTTAATAGTGTGTATTGTAATGATAACTTTTGTTATATCCTTTCTTAGTAAGGTGTTGTTTCTTATTTTTTCCGATATTTATTTTATTTTCCCTGTGTTTGAAATCCTTGCTTGCAGTACTTCAGAGTTACAGTCTGCTGATTAATATTTTTAAAATGATGCTCAGTCCAGACGACAGCATGATACTGTTCTTAACATAAAATATTATGTTTGCTAAGTTCTTTAGGGAAACACTTACAGTATTTGTTTTTGTTCAATCTGTTTATGTTTGTAAAACCTAATGAGTTAATTTAATTTCTTCATGTGCCAACACAAATCGTGTGGAACTTTGTTTTACAGTGTACACTTAAAAATGACTTTTGTTGTTTGTTAAAACTACTTATTTAAAATGAGTTGAAACAACACAATTCTTATTTTTTCACTTAGTTTTTTTTTATGTTTAATCCACTTACATCTGTAGAAACGATTAAGTTAGCCAAATGAATTTGTGTTCGACCAACAAGAAGGAATTGTGTGGAACGCAGCATTTCTTATGTACCATGGGAAGCAAAACGTTCAACTAAATGATCGCAAAAAAAAAAGGGATGCTTTTTCTAATCTATTTGCAACTACTCCAGCAACACTCCCTCTTGTTTAAATGTGAGATTTATATAGATCTTATATATAGAATTTGTATAGATCTGGTTATTTACTAAGAAAAAAAAATCAGCATTAAAAATTGCAATGCATTTGCATTCATATTAAAAAAAGAAATTATATACAAAGCACTTTTTACATTTTTTTTTTTTGCCAGGTTTAATTTTTAATAAAAATCTCACGTTTTCTTCCTCAGGATGTCTAATATTATTATTAATGTATGCTGATTGAAAATAAACACAAAAAACATCCAATTTTTAGCACATTAATGTACAAAAACATCAAAGAATTACTTGATATTTAAGTGATATATAGAAAATACCACGACAAAACCACAAAGAACACATTAGAGAGAAAAAAATGAACCTACCTTTTAGATTCTGGAACTCCCGCTCCAACTTTTTTCTAAGTTCGACTTGTTCCACGAGTTGTTTCTGCAGTTCCTCTGTTTAAATAAATAAAAGCAGCAGCTTATGTTACAATTATCAACAGCTTTATAACCACAATCAGCAAAACTGTTATGCATTCAAAAACAACAATTCTACAATGTGTCATTTTCTATGCCCTAAATGTGTGACTTAGTCATAATGTCAATTATTCTAGCACATAATGCTTAGTTACCTTTGGCCATGCTCTCTATGTTTTTCTCAATCAAGGAGCCCCTGTTGCCAGTGTCCTTGCAGATTGCTTCCTCATCTGCACACACTGACACACATACAGCATGAAGAAAACCAACAGACTGGTGTTGAATACCGGGAGGTCAGTAAACTGTACATACCATCATTTGGTTCCTTCAGGCGCTCCTCGCTGATGTTATTTTCATCCTGATGATTTTTGGGTTCCATCTCTTCTACTGTAGAAGAAGGCTCTTCTTCATGCACATCTTTTACTATAAGCATAAACACATTTAAATTACAAACACGGTATATTTATAATAACTTTTTGTTTAAATCATTTAATATATATATAAATGAAAAAGCACATATGTGAAAATAGGCATACCACTCGTTTCGCGCTGGTAAGTGGTCGCAGAACCAAAATAAGACGTGCTCATTTGATGCACGTGCTCGTCTCTTTCACGCGCATAGACCTGCAAATTGAGCAGACAATTAGCCGCAATTATCCACCTTTACATTTTCTATTTGGATGTGATTAGTAGAAACATAATGGAACCTTCGCTCATTTTAATCTATTTACACATTTTCAAAGAACTAACATAATGAAGAGCCTATCCACTGACAACAAATTCTCTCAATCCTACTAAGATTTGACAACGCGACAATTGCATGCGTTTACTTTATTTATTCGTTTCAAATCTCTTAAGAATAATAAACCAAAAATGTTTTTATTAAATTAAAATTAAATCGAAAATATTCACTTAACTATATTTCAGAAGAGAAATGAAAAAATGCTTATAATACTGCTTATAAAACTGTTTATAAATATGCAGGCTAGATATATGCATATAAGGCCAAAACTTTTTATATTTTAAAATAACCAAAATAACATTTACAATAAATACAGTATACTAATATTAATCAATATTCTGTACAAAAAAAAACTAATATCGCCTAATAAGAATAACAAAATTACGCGTGCTTCTGTATTTAATAACTCACTTCAAAGCGCGTCGTGTGTTTATTGCCGTGGCTCTCCATATCAGACGGCCGCGTTTCGCTTGAATTCGTCGAGTGTAGGTCGTTCAAGGTGTGCATCTGGGTATTTTCTTGATCTTGCCCTTTAACCCCTTCACTCTGCGCTAGGGTCAAACTGTGCGGACTCCGTCGGTCATCCACCGAGAGCTGCAGACACTCCTCATCCTCATGCGCCTTATGGGACTCCACATCCACATCCGGATCATCCACACTGTCCACGTCCGGAGACACTGACCTGTAACTAGAACTTTCACTCAGAAAATCTGGTGACATGTAGCCGGACCGAGGGCCAGAGTACGGCCCTCTGTTGCCGTATAATTTTGCGATGGTCTCGACATCTTTAACAACCGGCCTGAATGCAGAAATGTAGCTTATTTTTCTCGAGGTGGGTGGAATTCCCTCTATCGACCTGCTCTCGTCCCCAGATTTATCCTCCTCGTTGCGGGTCGACTGAGTGCTCGAGCACCGTTCATTATCTAGTAAACTGTCTTTAGGGGTGCTTGTGCTTCGGTCACTTTGCTCTGACACGTCAAGCTCATTATGTCTGGCGCATAACACGTCAGATGGAGGTTTAGGTTGGGCATGGTGGTACGTTGGCATGGCCAAGCTGCCTGTTGTAGGCCAAAACATGGGGAAAGAAGTATAGGCACTGTCCTTAGGGCTCGGCCAAAACACACCTGACAGGTTTGTTTTGTTTGGCTCTCCCATCACCTCACCGTCATCCTTCTTTTGACACAATCCAAACGCCGGGAAACCGTATGGATGCGGAAATAGCGGTGGTGGTATTTTCTGTAACATCCCAAAACTCTTACTGGGCACTGGGATAACTGGGTAACTGCGGATGCTGCTCGGCATAGTCACGTTCACCCTGTCATCCTCACAGCGGAGAGTTTTGTGCGGCACATCGGACGGTTCCCCTTGGGTCTGACCTCTGGGTGGTTGCGAAGGCGAACTTTCAGACCGACCGATTGGCAGCGTCCTCTTGCGGCTGCCACCGTTAAACATGGCCTTGACATCTTCCCAGGCGTGGATCACGTCGTCCGATGAGTTCTTATCGCTGAGTTTTAAGTGTCTTCTCCAAGAATTGAAGTTTGCCGCGTCGGGCTGTGTGTATTTGGATTCTGGCGTGCGGTGAGAGTGAAATATGAACTTATTTGGAGAAAAATACATGTTGCAGAATGAACACTTAATGCACTTGGCTCTCGAGCTGTTGTACCTAGCAGGGATGAAATTGCCCCGGCTGCCCCACGCGCATTCGTGCGACACGTCAAAAGCGAAATTTTCTGGTAATTTCGGCGGGCTGTGGGCGCCCAGGAACGATTTGCAGAGCCTCTCGGCCTCTCGCTTTGTAATCATCCCGCAGCGTCTCGAGGAAATGGGCATAGCCCCCGCGCGCCTGAGGATCTCCAGCTGGACCGGGGTGCACTGCACACAGGTGATGCCCAGAGCCACGCGCCGGTTGTGGATTTCGTTATAGCTATAGTTCTTCAACAAAGTGTTGGATATTTGGGCTAGGCAAAGTCTCTCTTGACCGTCTATGACTAATGAAACGATCGGTATTCCGTATAAAGAGGTCTCACTGACTTGGTTCGGCTTAAGTGGTGGGCCAGAGTAAGACTGCAAGTCTTTAGAGTTCGGCGAACAGCTGGAGTCTCTTCCAGCCGGCAGCTGATTTGGGATAGATTCCATTCCTGGAAATCTGTAAAGAGTGATACAAAGAATAGTTTTAGGTAATGTATTGAGTACAATAATTTAGAAAGAGAAATGATTTTTTTTCATGTCATAGCATGCGATTTAATGTAATAATAGGCTAATAATAATAATAATAATAATACATAGTCTATAATAATAATAAAATATATATTAAACGGTGAAAAATCAAATTTATGATGCTCGAAACTCGCCATGCAAGGTTATTAATTCATATATAAAAAATATTTGTCTTCATATCTCTGTATATATAATAATAAACAAGGTTGGTGGTCGTAATTTTATATATTTTTTGTCATCGAATTTTAGGACGTTTGTTTTTTATTCGTTTGAATACAATACAAGTTTTAGCGTGCTGAACATATAACCGTTTTGAAAAGGCAAACAATTGTTGTGTCAACAGCAAGGATTATCGAGGAAAGAGCAGAAGGAAATTATTCCTTGAGCCTTACCAAAGAGCTTAATAACGGTGTAAGACGCTTTAAGCCGCTTTAATTGTAATTACTAGAGGTGAGCTTTGCGTTTTTGATCTGTTGATAAAGCCAAACGAACTACAATTAAGATACAATGTGTTTACATTATAGTCCCGTTTCCTATCTTAATTTAATTTAGCTAAACTTACACAAGTGTTTTGTTTGTCAAGGATTCGATACAAATTGAAACATCTTTTAAACATGTATAGCCCATATTTTGGAAGACGTATTTATCTGATTTGTACAAATAAATGTTAAGTGTGCTTTTGGATAAATTGTGTATTAAGACGCAGTGTTTGATTTGTTTATCCTATACGCAGCTCTTTAAGATTTTCCCCACCATATAAAATGTTAAAAAGTGAACACTGCAAACATCAAAAATCTCACCTTTTTTTGAGAAGATGCCTTTTGTGTCTTTAATCTGCGGAGCAAAACGCGTCTTCGAAACCTTCGAGTCCTTCGGAAAAACGCGCTCTTTCTGTCCTCTGTTAGAGCCTTTTTGTAATCAGACGCATTGGAATCCCGCCGATCTGATATAAAATGTCCACAAGCGCTAGTTTAGCGGTTTTCTCTCCGGCCTGTTATCAGTGCGCGTGGACTTGCATCGTACTCGGCTCTCCCGCGACTAGTGTTGAGGCGCGCGCGGAGGCTTGACCACATGCTAGTGCAGACCTCAACGACACAACCACTGAAGACATTCGACAGTGCTCAAGTGACAGCTAAACTAATGGCGAGGCACTCCCACTTAGCGCCAGCATATTTACATTAACTATTTGCCTTCGGGACCAATGGGGACGACAGTCAGTGCTGTCATTGAGGCCTGGAGACGTTTAAAGTTCACCACGTGATCTTTTAACACACGAAAGTGATTGCTTGTCTGCCAGTGTGTGCGGGGGCGTGCGTGGCATTTAGGAACACTTTAGATTAGTCGACCTAGTAGACTACTTGTAAAAGGTCTGTTTAATGTGAAACAACAGTTTTAATACGAGAGCTACTGCATGCGCTCTGAGGAAAATGGGTATGTTTTTGTAAGCTTTTAATATGCTCTCATAAAATATTTTCACAGATGTCTGTAGCATAAAGGTGAGTATTTTGTATAGGTGCATGCATGCTCTAATCTAAAATCTTTCCTAAATCTAAAGAAATGCAATTGTCACTTGAATAAATCTAATGTTTACTAAAGCTTCCCTAAATATTTTCATGTGTTCACAAGCCTGTAGTTCATATGTATCATTCTGACTGGACAATTGTCATTTAAATGATATATGTCCTCTATTTGTTTAACTCAAACCAAGAATAAAGGCTTTAGATGAATAAATGAATAACATTGCGCATAATTCACCCTATAACATTGTATGGGAATCAAAAGAAACGCGTAAAATAAAAAGCGCATAAACAGAAAAAGGAAACAGCCTCGAGCATTTTCATCTATATTCAGTGTCTGTTTAAAAATAAACTATACTCTTATTGAAATTGCATGGTGCCGGGGGACTAAGCAATGATTGTCTCCGGGGGCTATTTGGATCGGTGTGGGTTAGGGGTGTGCTGTTGCCCGCATGTGTTTAAGTTCCCACGAGTTAGTTTAACTTTTAGAAGCAATCATTCTTATGGAGAGTACGCGTAATTCAGGACGTTACGCTTTAAATGCCGTTTAAAAGCCGTGTCTGCATTGACAGTTTCAGACACAACGCAATATCAAGAGGATTCTTGTTTTAGGTAAAATTAAATGCAGAAGCGATAGTGAATAAAAACATAAAATTGATACACATAAATGATGACTTTAAAATAAAAAATAAGAGAATTTAGAAATTTTAAAAATGCATTATATAAATGACATGTAATTACAGACTGTAGAAGATCAAATAAAACAAACAAATAATTGTAAAGCAATATTAGGTATAGCCTGATTAAACTTAAGAGAAAACTTTATCGACGTTTTCTTATTTTTAGCCTTACTTAGATTAAACTGCTCATGATAGTCTCTAGAATGCTTTGCGAGGTGAAAACGAGCGCGTTCTGCAATATTGATAGCGGAGGGAGGACCTGGGGAGGGAGTTTGGAGTAATGCGATCCAGCCCAGCGCTATTGACTTTCACAGGCAAGAGACTTTCTTTCTCGCCAACAATAATTACCATTTTGGACTGTAATTATTCACTTCTTTTAAATTATTTAGGGAGCGAGCTGAATGGCATATTGTTATCCATTATTTCTTTTACTTACCCATCATGCTTAGATTCGGAGCAGATACGGGAATCCGACACCTCACATGATATTTAATTTAGCTCTTTTGTCGATCCTTAAGAAATTAGAGAGCACGTTCTAGAACAAAGAACATCCAACAATGTATCAGTAGATCTTGATGAAAAAAAAAAACAGAATAAGTATATTCTAAGCTGCAGTTAGTACAATAAATAAATAAATAAATAAAGCAACAAATAACAATGACAATAACAATAATTAATAATACTACTACTACTACTACTACTATTATTATTATTATTATTATCATCATTATTATTATAAAGGTATTGTTGTTTAATTAAATCTGCATTATTATAATTATTATATTATAATAAATAATTAAAATAACAACAATGATAATAAAAATAATAATTATTGTTTTTTCTTTTTTGAGATAATAACAATAAATATAATTTGTATTGTAATTATTATAAATAATTATAATAATTCAGATTTGTGTATACAGGAGAAGTGTATATTATTAAATGCCATGATATTGAAAAGCAGATAGTTTATAATAGTTACTTTTATCATTTAAAAAAACGGTACGCAGTATAGACATTAAAGAAAATCAGGCATAGCTTACTTTACATACTTTTGTCGAGATGTGCAGGGCCATTTTAAATTAAAATAATACTTTCGGTTGCTCCAAAGGCTGTAACAACACATTAATATGTAACAACATAGCCTATTAAGCTGTACTATATCAACATCAATCATATATAATAATAATAATTATTATTATTATAATTATTATTAATAAATAATAATAATAATATCAATTATTATGATTATTATTATTATCATCATCATTATTATTATTAGGCTATTATGAATTTCTTTATAAACACACAAACAAAAAAGACATTAAATCTCAGAGATTGTAACTCATCACTACAGCCATTTTTGCATTTCAGATGACAAGACCCTAGCCATTAATAAACGATTAACGTGATCAAAGCGTTTATTAACATTTTGGTTAGCATAAATAAGCAGCAAAATAAGTAAACATATAAAGCAAAATGAAATATAGGCCATTGCGTTTTGATAAATTAATACCCTATACGTTCTAATTAATTAATTAATTTCTTATCTTATTCATTATCATCAAAATGTCGTAGTATTGCCACGTTGAAAAAAGTAACAGTCCAAACGCTGTATTTCAAGCTTAATTGCTATTGGATTGCACGTGCTGGCATATCGACAGCTTTAAACAAGAACACTGGAGGAGCCGTGTTGTGTTGTTGTAAAGCGTCAGGGAGGTTCCACTGACCCCTATTCATTCCTGTTAGACACCTCGCTTGAACAAGTTAATGATCTTTAAAATAAAAGTAGACGAAATGTATAACTTTCTTTAAAAGTTACAAGCCCAAACACATAAATATGAACGTTAAATAAAATTTGCCTCAGAAGAGAGCTTGGGAATAAACGCTCTGTTTCTACGAGGTATCAGCATAAAACCATGACCCCAATAAATTTAATTTTAGGGACAAATCAATCCTCTTCTCTTTTATCGATCGCCGTTTGCTCGCCACACTTGGGCCGCGTTTCAACGCCTTTTTTTGTTTCACTTCGAAATAGCATTTCGATTAAATCCTTTATTAAGCGCGGATTGCCCCAAAAGGATCGGTGCGGCCAGAAAATTAAATGGTGACATTTTAATTACTGGACATTGATGAAGGCGTCCCGGTAATAGTTGTGTATGAGGACTGGCACACTGTGTCAACCCAGGTGGACTGAAAAGTGAAGGCTGTACAGCACAGACTGCACAATACAAACTAAAAGAAAAAAAGGCAGGACAGCTGCACTACCAATGAGCGAATGAAAAGGCGGCGTGGCTGTGAATGGCAAGCAGTCAGCGAATCATATAGGGTTCATTTATGTACAATCTTTTGAAGTTGGGTGTATTATAAATACAACTATTGTACTATTTTTTTTATTTATTTTTTTGACATTACTTTTGCTCTTGCTTATCATGTAGATTTGAATTGGTTATGTTCTATACCAGGCCTGTAGCTTGGTGAAAAGGGCTAGTTCTTTTTTTCTCATAAAGTGAACCCTTATTTTGCCTCATTTTCTAATTTCTGAGGTTTAAATACTTCATTTCAGTGACATGTTAAGCACTATTTTTAGCTGGATTAACTTGTCCTATATATATGATCATCATACCCACAATTTTTGATGCACCAAAACATTTCCTAAACATTTAGAATATAGAAATGTGAAAATAATACTTAATTTTGAAATACAATATTATTATTATTA